GAAGATGTAGACGCAGACAAAGGCGATGGCGGCCTTTTGCGCGGGCAGGTTGTACACGATAATGTTGCCGGCGTCGTCCTGGCCCGTGGTCAAGGTTCCCAGCATGGCGACGAGGAATTGCGAGACGCACATGCCGACGGCACCCCAGAGAAGCAAGGGGCGACGTCCCCAGCGGTCGACGGCCCACATACCGGGAAGAGTCGAAGCGACGTTGATGGACGAGGTGATCATACCGATAACAAAACCGTTGGAGAAGCCAGAGTTTTGGAAGTACTGCGTTCCGTAGTAGAAGATGAAGTTGATACCGGTCAGCTGCTGGAGCGCCTGGAGAGCGCAGCCGGTGAACTGGCGCTTGAGGACGGGGGGCTTGAAGCAGTCGAGGTAGCTACCGGTGCCGATGGTGGCCTCGTAGTCGTTGTTGGCCTTGATCTCGGCAATCTCCTCGGCGACGTAGGCATCGTTCTCGGGAAGGCGGCGGATCTTGGCCAAGGCCTTGGTGGCGCGGTCAATGTGGCCCTGCTTGATGAGGAAGCGAGGCGTCTCGGGCAAGAGAAGCATGCCGAAGAAGAGGATGAGAGACCAGGCGAACTGGACGGCGATGGGGATGCGGTAGGATCCAGTGTCCTGGCGGGCGTGCGTTGCGTTGTTAATGATGGCAGCCAGGAGCAGACCGATGGTGATGGCCCATTGGTAGGCGCCGACAATGGCACCACGAATCCACTTGGGGGCGGTCTCGGATTGGTAGAGGGGGACTATTCACGGTTAGCAGAGGTTCTTCATGACGGAGGAGAATAATACTGACCCAGGGCGGAAATCAGACCGACTCCGAAACCGGCGAAGAAACGACCGGCCAGGAAAAGGGGAATGGCAGTAGCAACGGTCTGGAGAACAACACCGAGGTTGAAAACCCAGCACGAGGCGACGAGGGCCATGCGACGTCCGATGGTATCAGCGAGGAAGGGGGAGGCCAGGGCACCGAAGAAAGTGCCGGCAGAGAGGATGGAGACGATGGCGGATTCTTGGTCGGGCGAGACGTCCTTGTTACCGGCGGTGTTCACGTAGCCGGTGCTGAAGAGGCGTTGCCAGTAGGACTGTCGAAAGGTGGTTAGTTTGTACGTCTTTTATCAAGGTGTTGGGAATCAAGACATACCATCTCGAGGATGCCGTTAATGGTACCGGTGTCATATCCGAAGAGGAGACCGCCAAAGGCGACGAAGAAGCCAATGGCAATGGCCGGCCAGGCCTTGCCTGGGACACCCTCAGGCTTGATACCCATGATGACGGCGGGCTACGGTATCTGGTTTGAGTGTGATGTTGGCAATGTGAGAAGAAGAGGTCAAGCCGTGTTCAGCAGAAGGGATGCAGTTGCTCGGACTCTGCGTCTGAGAGGAAGAGTGTTGGGCAGTGAAAGGCTTGAGCGCGACGACGGAGAAGAAAGAAAGACATCTGGGGAAGAGATGGGAGGAAACGACGAGCATATAAACTCGTCCCCAGAATGCGGTACGACGCGGAGCTCCCACACAACAGGAAACCTTCCCCAAGGTGGGGGAAAGTGGAAGAGGTGCCACGGTGCTACCGCATGTTACCTGAGTTACCTAGTAGGACTTTTCGTGGTATCCGTATTCCGTAGGCGGGCCATGACAAGGTAACAAGGTTTCCTTTCTGCAAAGGGGGGGTGTAATTGACCTCAAGTTCAGACAAACCATGTGGAGAGACGTCCAAAAGGTCAGGATAGGGCCGATGGACGATCACGAGGTGATGTTGGGATGTGGAGGGAGGAAGAAGGAGAGTGTGGGTTGACCGTGAGCTCGCGGAACCTAGTACCAACACATCAAGGCATCTGAGCTGCAAGAAACCAAGTATTGGGTACTTTGTACAATTGTGACGATCTCACGAGCGAGGTGGCAGGGGGAGGTAGACCATAAAAAAAACCAGAAACAATAAAACAGACTACCTTGGTGTATCCGCAGCCGTAAAGTCGCCAGTTTAGCCCGCCAGGTTTTCCCATGGGTCCCCCTCTTCCCCCAGCAAATGTGAATGAGCCCCAGCAGGGGAATGGCCGGCGCTAGTCAGGTCAGAGGGTGTGAAGGAGAAGGGAGAGGGAGTGTGAGGGGGGAGACTCTACAGACTCTGGGGTAGCTCCGGTCGGTAGCAAGTGTTTCACAGCAATTGGACTCTTTCTCAGCGGCGTAATACGGAGGCACGCAGGCATATACTGTGTAGGTTGGTTCATACATAGGTAAGAGACGCGGACTGGCGGCAGATGTCTGCTCTACGCGCCTAGTCTACGGCTTGACCCAGTCAGGCAAGTAAAGATATCCGAGGCTGGATTTAAAGCAACGGGAAGGGCACATGAGCAACGCCCCCAACGGTTCATCGGACAAGCACTACAAGCCTACAAGGTAGGGCCAAGTCGACGTTGAACGGCGCGACCGACGTTGAATAGGTACAATGGGATTGTTTCCGCCCGATGGCATGGATACGGAGTGCGTGATCTTGGTAAAGCTGGGTGTGGTGGAAAAGTTTTTCTGGGTCGCATCGAGTGGCATCAAGTCGAATCTCGTGCATCCCCGCGAGTCGTTCGCCCAAGACTTTGGCAAAGGTTTTCTGGAGAACTGGAGGACATGGAGAAGATGGAGAAAGGGCGGGGAGTTTGGAGATTGCCAGGGCCTTTGGGGCCTTTGGGCAGGGCGTGGGCCGTGGGGCAGCTTTTTCTGGTGAGATAAAACACGCCCCTCCCTCCCTTCTGATGATTGTGTTCTACTGCGTATACGTAGTAGACTATCCGCAATGGTCCGATTCATTGTTGGTTTGCGTCTGTTTTTGGGGTTCAACGTGGGCCTGGCATCGTGTAAGGTACCTAGACATCCATTTAGCTGGTGCCAAACAGAGTGGATGAAGTGTTGTGTTTACAGAGTAGTGGCATTGTATCGCAACTATTGCCCTCGATGCTGATGGTACCGTATCCGTACGAAGTAGAGACTTGCAGACTCGGGGATTTGTGATCGGTCAAGGTACACTGCTCGAGGTACTCCGCGGTCCATACATTGACGGATCGCTAGGTAATCAGGTACCTGGAGGCTTCAGCCATCAAGCATCGAGGTGGAGTCTGAACGTGCGAAATGTGGGCGAGAAGAAGACGATGGGAGCGAGAGAATGTGCGGTTTGCGGCTCGCCAGCCAGTGACGGCGTAGCTTGTAGGTACGTACTGCGTAGTGGAAGCGGGCTGGGGAAACTTGAAAGTTGTGTGGAGACCCCACAACGGTCACGCCGCGTCGCCGCCCGAGGGCATCGCTTAGGGATACGTACTCTTTCTCAATGTGGAGTTGCGTACTCTCGGCGATCCAATCAGCCAAGCAGATCGCCTGAGCTTGGAAGGAAACAAGCAACGGCCAAGGAAGTCGCGACTCTTCACTTTCTCTCTCTCACTTGGTTACTGAGGTGCTGTCTGCCTCGAATGAGATCTTTCGATGGATGAGCTTACATAAGGAGGCACGCAACTCGTAAAGCAACTAACAATGCAGCCAAGACCCGCCGTGGCCGGCTTCGCCAACTGCCGTCTTCACAAGCTCACAGCGTTTGCTTCCGTTCAAGGCTTGATTGACGATGGACATGGCCATTCTCGCCCAGCTTCTTCCTCTCACCTCATGCATCGTGTCACCCTCGTGATCTGCGGCGAGTCCTGCCCAGTCATTTCGAGACATCTGACATGCTGCCCTACACCGTAGCATGTTCCCGACTCACTGGGTCATGGCAATCATCGCCTGGCCTCGGCTCAGTCTCACTCTCCTCTCAGTGTCGTTCCCCAAAGTCTCACTTTCATTTAGTGAGCTTTCCTACGAGCGTGAGTGAGAGACAAGTGAGACGTAAGGTGAAGGGACCCTGGCCATGATCGACTGAAAAAGTCGAAACTCACTTTCGGCCCGTTTCCTCGCAGCTGCCCCGTCAATACCTTAATGTGCCCACGCTCCTCCCCTGCTCACCTCTCCACGTTGGATCCGCAGCTTCTCGTACTGGCTGCTCTCATTCGCTGCGCATTCACCACTTCATCTCCAACGCTATTTCTCTCGCTGCTACTCTTTACAACATTTCCACCTTCATCGTCAGCTGCGACATGAAAGTTTTTGTTCATCTTCATTTTTTTGTTTAATGAACCATGATACTTTTAGTTTTCATTCACGATGGCATCAGGGCATAATCAAAATTGACACATTCGCTCAAATGAAATTACTAGCAAACCACTCAAAAGTGTTTGCTGCAAGCATAATCCGTCACCAGATCGCCGAATCGCAAAAGGACGTCAGTGGCTTTATTCGGAATTCACCGACCATCTTTCATTCGGCCGCCCTCACACCATCTCGACGCTCGCCGTCTCCGCGTCTCCACCCCTCAACCGGCGCCCGTTATTGCCCGCGCCTATGCGGTATACTCGCCGCCATGAACTTGACTGTACTCGAACGGGTACAGTACTCTGCTATGTGGACTTTTCTGCATTCAATACCTACCAAGTATCGTGCGGCGTGCCTGTCCATCCCGTCGGTTCGGGTGACAGCTGCCATTACAGCATTGACTTCCGTACGAAAGTCTCGTAAGATCACGACTACTGTCGACAATGACTCTCATCCCAGCCCAACGTCTCCATCCGGCCCGATGCCTGTCAAGTCTTGTCAGATCGGCCGTGTTCCATAATCTCGCTCTTTTAAGCGCCTCATCCCCAGTCGCCCACATTCCCGCTACCTCTCTCGGCGCTTCTTCGTTGTCTTTGCCCCGGGCTCCATCCCGGCTTCGGCCAACAATCCTGGCGCAAAACGCCGCAAACCCACGACGACTTCACTTGAGCCGTCCATGCTCCTACGCCCTTAACGCCTCCTCGCAATCGATTTGCAGACGTCGTTCGATGTGCTAGCCTTTGTAGGCACTTCTCGTGTTCTCAACAACCTCTCAACATACATCACCACCACCTTTCCCCCCATCATCATCACCCGTTAGCCAACGACCTAATGCGCAGCACAGCGCGCCGCAACGTTGACAGGCCGCTTGGCAGCGAGAATGGGCTCCGTCTCGGACCTGAGACGCCTCATTTGCGGGCGCTCGCGCAGTTCTCGCTTGCGAATATACCAGTAGTCCCACCAAAGGCCCGATATCTCCAGAAACGCGGGGTTCTTTCTCTCCGCCAGCGCGCCTTTGCTGGAGAATCCTCGCGTATCGAACTATCAATGGCTATCCCTAGCTCGCCCGCAATCGAGCGCCGACGCCTCCTCGGTTTGACGGGGCTTTTCCCCTCGAAACACCATACAAATTTTGAAATGGCTCCAACGCCTCCTGGGAAATGCGGCAACAGAAAAGAGTCCAACTTTCAACCCAGCTAAAGCGCACTTGAAATAGTAGGTTTACGACCTCGCCTACCGTGGCGTGGGAGAGTGTGGGAGGCTCAAGATGCGTTCGCGCGTATGGACCAACAGCAGAGCCGCTGCCGCTACTGCTCTTCCAATGAAGAGGATCGCCACCGTGCCGGCTACGCGGCCTCGAATGACGGCCGGTATCGCTATGCTCACATGATCAACTCGAGGGGCTACAGGCTGGCCAGGCTACAGGCTGGCCAGGCACCGGCCTCAGCGTTCCCGGGACTTTGGCCTGCTGCGGGCGGTGAGGCCAGACTGGTCTCTTTCCGGGGAAGCACCGCGGGGGCCGATGGGTCGTCCCCGTGTCTCTGACGGCCCAGTGGCTACAGAAACGGCGGGCTGGGTACGGGGTTGGTGATCTGACCGATTTCTGACCTAGTCTTCACGTACCCCTCAACTGCGCATCACGAGACAACGCGGAGTCTGGAGAAGCCTGCTTGCTCCAGAATCCAGAATGTAACGAGCTTCCACACATGCCACGCGCGGACCTGTAGGGAACCCGAGCTGGAGCCTCCATCGGTCAAAAGCCACGCTGTGTGAGGGTCGAGATCTGGTAATCGGCCCGTTGCATAAATCCCCGACAAGGTGCATAAATCTGATAACCACCGTCTTGGTATCGCATGGCCTTATCGTTGAGAATCAGGGGCCTCGAATATTTTGGTTCAATTTGATGCCTGATTTGAGGATAGAGCTGATCGCTGGGGAAAAGTCAAGGTCGAATGCTCAAAATCTCGTTGTTCTTGATAAAGTCATCAAAAGTTCGGCCCTGACTTACTTAGACTTGGAAGTCCTGAGAACGCCAAGTGGCACACGACAGCGAGTCACGGCTCTTAGTTGAGGAGAAAGCAAGCTGCCAGAGGAACGAACACAAGCTGTGTAAAGAGTGTCTCAATGTGGCATTATCAAGCTCTCCAACTGATTTATTCCCCGCCACGGAACCGGACGAGAATGATGAGGCACGCCTAATGCCACGACACTTTCATCAATCACGAATCCACAGCTCAGCAAGTCCACTGCGTAATCGTCAGTCTTTACAAATCAAGCCATATAAGTACGCAAACTTACCTCCGCACCACCAGGGGCCACATACGACGTGAACCCAGGCTGGTAGATCTGCAAGTGTACACGTCAGCAAACCACAACACAGCATAACATCACTTTCCACCACAGGGAGGACGCTCACGTTGACAGTATACCCGGGGTCAGTATCCTTGAAAGCACCAGGAATACTCAGAGTCGGCGCAAACGAGCTCGCGGAGGCGGTCGAGCCCGTGACGTTGATCTGCGCGCACGAGATGTAGAACTGCGGGATGCCGGCCGGGTAGGGGTTGTGGATGCCCAGCTGGTGGACGCGCAGGAGGTACTCGCCGTTAGGAAGGCACGTCGGGATCTTGTACTCGTAGGTTTCTAGGTGCTGATGGTCAGTTCAATCCTTGACGGATAGGAATTTGATGAGGTGAGTATCGTACGTCTCATTGGCCAAGTTGCCTGACCGTTGCTAAAGGTCGGGAGGAAGTCTTTGAACTTGGCCCATTTCCCGGACCCGTCGTAGTCTTGGACGTGAGAGGGCGCTTTGGACAGGAAGCTGGGCGTCTGTCAGCGAAAGCTACTGTGCATTGGCCGAGTAAGTACTCACAGCGAGATGGGACCCTGGTGGTAGACGGCCGTGTCGAGGGTGAAGGTGAAGGCGTCGCCGGGCTTCACGTTGACAACCGTAGTCTGGGCACCGCTGGCACCGCCGACATTGCATCGCAAATCGTTCGAGGCGAGGTCTATTGGGCCGATCAGTTTCTTCTGTCCCTTCCAGAAACACGCAGATCAAGTGATGAGGGCACGTACCAGTAACGGGAGAGTTGTAGTTGGTGTTCTTCCGGATGTGCTGGAAGACGTCGTACTTTGTGGACCCCACGGACAGCTGCTGGAAGATGTAGTGCCCAGAGACTTCCGATACGGCTGCCGAGAGGACGGCGGCGGCGGTGAAGAACTTCATGGCGTCGGATCCGTTAGGTTGCGTCTGGTCAGAGAAGACGAGCGTATATTCGGAGCAGGAGCTGACTCGGAAGAAGGATGAAGATGATGAGGGAACCACGTCTACGGGCTCTTGGCTCTGTGCTCATCATTTAAATGGGATACTGGACGTTCTGCCATTTTCCTTCGCCAGGTCGTAGTGAGACGGCTCGGAAGCTCAGCTTCCCTGATGCTACTCTGGAGAGCAGTCATGATTGGCAAGGGGGTCAATCAACCTTGGTAATCAACAAGACCCTCTACGCGGCAACGATGAGAGGTGGGATTACTTCGGCTGTTGACGGGTCTCCGGTACATGGCCCCGAGCATGGTGTATCGCGTGATGGGCGGTTTGCTCTGACTGCCAGGAGACGGTACCAGATGCTATGTTGACCTGGTTGTGCCCAATATGCGTCAGCCAATGCTAAGCCGTGTTGTCGGACCACGAGACTCGGTCTGGAATGGTAACGGATCAGTGGTCCAGGGCTTACTTCGTGTGTCTAACTGAGCTCTTAGAGGCACCCAGAACTATCCTTAGACGGTGGCTACCTCTCTTGAACAAGATCTTCTGGATGATTCGGCGTGCTTAACAGTGACACGTCTTAGCTCACCGAGGCTATCTGTAAGACTCCACGCTCCATCACTGATGCCTCCTGCAAGCAAGTGAAAACTCGCAAAGAACCACATCTCGAGCACACGGCGGCGTTGGATCTCGACAGCGATGATGAAAGTCATGTAGCCACCGGCAGAAGTCGTGCATGGCACGTGAGCCGTTCATTTGCCGGAGGTGAAATGCACCCCAGACTCTGTACTCTACTTAAATTAAGCTTGTATGGAATAGCATTTTAGCCGTGTAGATCACTTGGCAAACGTCGGCCTCGGCTGAATTCATTGTTGCTGAGAAGCGTTGCCTATAGTAGTTTGATGTGATCACTACAACGGATTGTAGAAAGAGGAAGGTGACTCTAGAAAATATTGAAGGGCACTGAGAATAGACATCTTTCCCGCATTCCTTTGAAGCTTCTGGTTCAAGTGCCGGCGGCTAGAGCCATGGGCAGTGATAGTCTGGACTCACAGCATATAGTGCTCTTACCGCTTTGCCGCCATAATTGCGTATCTCGCGATATCGATTGTATATCAGTCGACAGTCAGTCCAGTAGTATCTGCTTTGAGATTGAGAGTACTCCGAGCGGGTGATTTATATTAACATCAAACTCCTTTTTGAAGCTATCCAGGATCGTGAAACGGAGTCTCCCGGAGCCACAGCCTCCGGGCTCTAAATGGTACATGTTCTTTCCCTCCGATCACTGATGTATTAACTTTATGCCACTGACCAGTAATCAATCCAACTCATCAGAACCGCTTCCAGTCAAATTATGACAGTAATACAACAGAAGAGCATGGGGATGGCCTCAGAGGGAGTATATCAATTTGATTCCAGGACTGACTCATCTCATAAGAATTAGGACTGAACAAAGAAGACGGACAGAGTCATATGAAAGCGTTCACCGCACGATCAACGGCTTTCCATAAGGCTAGAGTATCTCAGGAGCACGTTCAATCTCCCCGCCCGGAGCGAGAAAGCGGATCGATCACCGGCCCGCCCGGGAAGCGGACCATGCTCACCCCCTTGCTCTTCGGGATCAGAGCTTCCGCTACCCCCGCAGATAAGGCGAATTGTACCCACGTTCACGCCGAGTAGTATCGCAGGCTTTATATTTGACCGCTTTATTAGAGTTTTGATTCCGGATCGGAGAAATAACAAAAGTTTCGTACGGATAGTCTATTGTATGCGGATGAGTAGTATATTTGAAAAGCTGCCGCGACCTTACTTGTAGTCGGCCCGATACTTGATGATGTCAACCAACGACGAACCTCGTGATTCGAGATGAATAATTGTGAATAAGAGGCAACAAGAGTTGTGCTTGTTGTTTTGCGCTGTGATCTACAGACAGACGGGTGTCTGCCAACCCACTTGGTTTGGCTTTACCGCAATAAGCGCTTTGGAAACACCCTTTGAATGATGTTTCTTTTCAATCTTTTCTCCGCTTTGATGAGATGGGTGATTCAACCTTTAGGGCGCCGAAATATTGAGAGCGAACCAGTCGGATGGACACACAAGACTTGGAACTCTTGCAGTAGATCACGTTCTCTCGTGTAAGCGACACTGGGTTTAGCTCACCATTTACATAGGTTACCACGACGGAAGCAGACTCTGAAAAAAGCGCCCTACGACGCAGCAAGCTAAGATGAAAGGCCTCAGCTCTCGTGTGATGCGGTAGAATTCACCGGCTATATCCAGGCCTGTAACATCGTCACGTCTCGGCAATCTAATCTCGACACCCCTTGATGTGTATTAGGCAAGTAGCGGACGAAGCTCAGTGTAGTCTAAGCTACTCGATGGGTCTCAGGGGTAATTTCTACGGGACATGTTGTAAATCGGTTTCTCGATGACTTTAACTATCGAGCCTCGTCCTGGCAGCTGACAGCCTTGAGCTGCTGTTGAAACGTTGACGGAAACCCTTACCTTTCAGTAACTTCTAGGATCATTTACCTGAGGTCTCAAAATGAAGGCCTTCATCGCAATCCTTACGACGTTTGTCGCCCTGAGCGAACTTGTCTCTGCCCACTGTGAGAAGCCCAAGAAGTGAAGAGCGTCCCATCCCGAACTGACAGTGCTCCCCAACTAGACCGCTTCACGAGCCTCGTGGTCGGGGGCGTCAACACAGGGGAATACGTCCATGTCAGGCGCAACACAAACTACAACAGCCCCGTCACAGACGTCCTCAGCAAAGACATCGTCTGCAATGCTGGCGGCCTCTCCTCCGGTCCGGCGACGCAGATCGCCACCGTCGCGGCCGGTTCGACCGTAAATCTTTCTCTTCTTCCTCCTCCTTCTTCTCACATCTTCACGCCCCCCTTATCCGCCTTCCTGCTCCTCACCCCCTCCCCGTTTCCGTATCTCCATGCTCGAGATACCTTACACCCGAAGATCCGCGAGTCGACACGACTCGAGAAGACTCACTAACCAACGCACTCTCTGCAGGTCGGTTTCGCAATGGATCAAGCAATCTACCACGACGGGCCTGTCATCGTCTGGCTCTCGCCCGCCGCGGGATCCAACGTGACGACCTACGACGGCAGCGGTCCCTGGGCAAAGATCTGGGAGCTAGGCGCGCAGACAGGCAACGGGCAGATCAAGTTCCCCGCCTCGAACCAGGCGGGCTTCAACTTTCAAATCCCCTCATGCACACGTACGTCACGACATTTCCTTTCCGTCGAATGGTCAAGTGGTGGACTTACTCGTGCAACAATGGTGCTTGCTGCTTTCCCCGGTCGTGGCCCCTCACCCGGGACTATGCAGCCGTGATCACCGTTGATCCCCACGGACGGGCACTCAACGCCCGCCCGTGTGTGATGTATGTATGTATGGCTGGGCCGCGGAGTACTGACGGAGTCTAGCCCCGGGAGAGTACCTCCTCCGCATCGAGCAGATTGGACTACACTCCGCCAGTGCCAAGGCCGGAGCCCAGTTCTACATCTCGTGCGCCCAGATCAAGGTGACGGGATCAGGGAGCGGCACTTCGTTCTCGCCTACTGTCAGATTTCCGTGAGTTGTCTCCTCAACTTCCATGTCATTCACAGATATGTCCAGCCTGGTTCCCATGCTCAATGCTCCCAATCCCAACGCCTCCCCACACCAAAGGCAACTCCACCTGCAGGGCAGGGCGGCGGGCGGGCGGACGGCGGGCGGCTCGTTCTCGTTTAAAGAAAAAAAATGTCGCGATGGAACCTTGATAGGGTGTTAATCTCCACGTATCACTTAGGGGCGCATACACTGGCGACGAGCCCGGTATCTTGATCAACATCTACTACCCTGTGGTGAGTTCTCTCGTGCGCAGACCTTTCCGCGCCCACGCGGGAAAAAAAAAAGTGAAGTCATCGTGAGCGAGTCGTGCTGATGTCTTGGCGGGGTCGAAAAATAGCCAACAACTTACACCGTACCGGGAGGACCTGTGGCAAAGTGTTGATCCAGGCCCTTCGTTCGTGTCATTTCATGGCGAGGGTGACGCAAAAAACACATTTTCCTTCACGATAGCCATGGTTGTTGGGTATTAGGGTTTCCGCGGTTTCCACGGCGCGGGCAGCGTGCGTGGCTGGTTGGCTGGCCGTGCCGCTTGGTATAGTCTGTAAGGGAGGTGGATTAAGATGGATACGAGAAGATCCAAAACAGAGACAATATTGGATTTGATTGAATTTTTTTCATTTGTTTGATTCATCTACCAAAAAGCTTCGTGAAATACACGAACTTGGCAGAGGTGTTGGGCATGGCTGCCGTGTCGAGACTCTCGTGTCCCGACAATAATTATCTTTTCAAAAAAGAAATGGGTACTGAGTAAAACACCAGACTCCATTCGCAAAAAGTCCCAAAGAGTCGCTCGTTCGATCCTGAAGCCATCCATAAAAACAGGGAAATACCCCCCACTCTAGAAAGCCCTATCAAGATCGTCAAAAGAGAACGAAGGAAAAAATGAGACAATAGAGCTCCCATAAGTCGTTATCCCCGCAATCACCGGCTCCCAATACCCGGTCTCAAATCCCGATTCTGACGATTCATTCCCCCCTCTTCCGCAGCTCGCTGGATTCGCGATCAATAGGGACTCCACAACTTATCGGGGCTCCCGGGATAGTCGAGATATGACTCGGGGACGGGACTCGAGGTCGAGACGGGAGGAGGGACAATGCGGTATGCGTCGAGCGCAGACATATCCAATGCCAAGCTTCCGGCCCCGTCGTTGGCATTGGTGTTGCTCATCAAGTCCCACGCCGGAGCCTGCCCCGCAACAGCAGCAGCAGACATCTGCTGGCTCGCGCGGAGCCTGTAGCACTCGTTGGCCAGGAGTCTGTAAGCACAGCAGAGCGCGTCGTTCTTCTGACTCATGTCCTGGATCTGAGCCTGGAGCTCCTCGAGACGGGACTCTTTGCGCTTTCGGTAGGCGCGCTGGTTGGCGCGGTTCTGGGCGCGGCGCTTCTATACGGGGAGAAAACGTGGTCAGCCTCTTTTTCCTTATTTGCAGTCTTTCGGATGCGGCCCGCGGGAGATGAAGGCCGGGGAGCCGATGCTCGCCAATAAACGGGGCTCATGCCACGGACTCGGGGAGGAAATTGCAGACTGGGAAGCCGGGGGAACAACTTACTGATAGCACTGACTCGCTGCAGTTCTTATATCTGTTGCCCCGTCTTCCTTTCTGGGGCTTTGAAGACTCTTCGGATCCGCTGGTGGGGGAGTGTGCGTCATCGTGCGAGTCTTCTGCCTTGCTGTGATCGATGCTGGAGGTCGGGCTGTGAGGGCTAGACCATAATGACGTCGGAGTGCAGTAGCCATTCTCGTTGGAGTTCTGTTCGACTTGTGAGTTTCAAGAGTCTCATATGTGTTGTCTGGCAGGCTGTAGACATACGATGCGTGAGGCGAACTGCGCGGCGATGATGTCGTAGGGGGTTGTGCCAGCCATTGAGGAGAAGTCGACGGGCATGGCGTATGGCGGGAGTTCTGGTGATATGCTGTCCATTGCGTAGATGTGTATTTTGGGTACTCTTCCCAACCTCGTTGTTGACGATGATTCACAGTAGATGAGATGGTTCGTGAGATTGGTGTGGCAATACAAGGATCACGGTGACGTTAATGTATGGCGAACTAGTGTGAGAACTGAGAATAGTGTTGTAGATGGATCTGTGGGATGAAGAGGCGAAGAGGGAGGCGTGGAGGTGGAGGGCAGTAGCGTGATCGAGGAGGCGAGGGTGGGCAAGGGCAACTTATATATCCTTAGTTCTCGGTGTGAGAGCGAAGCATCGCCAAAAGATCTCCGAAGACGGCACCAGAAAGAGATGTGACGATTCTGCAATGACCAGAAACAGGACAGGAGACAGGGGGAAGGGGTGTGTGTGGGAAGCAGACACTCTTGTAGACAACATGGTACATACATAGAGAGCCGATGGAACTATGAGGAAACGAGAGCACGAGAACCATGGGCTGGAACCAATGACGGTGTGTGTTAATGTCAACGCTGGCCCGGCACGGGTGGACGAAGACGTGAGAGCGAGTACCTGCATATGGAGTCAGTTGGTCGTCCATCCCAGTCCGTCGCATCTGGAATTCGGTATTCGGTGCCGCGCCGGTCTACAGTGTACGTATCTGGAGGAGGAAGGGGGAGGGGTGTGTGAACAGTGCAAGGCTTGATCAACAATGAGATCAAAGAGCTATGGTGGGCCACCGTCCGTGTGTACATGAAGGGTGAGTGGATGGCTGGTGAGGATGAGGATGGGTATGTTCTCGGCGTGCGAGTCTATGAGTAGTAAGAGGTACTTTGAGACTGTAGGAAAAGACATGCTTGTCTACAGTTTCTGGACCAAGTGCCATTACAGAATACTTCGACGCATATAACGGAACTCTGAAGAAGGAGTCCAATGGCAACCAACGATGTAGGGTAACATTACAATATTCGCGCGTTGTTTCGAAGCCAGAACTGAGCAAATAGAGGGCCAGAGAGGACTCTCTCTCAAGTAGCTGATTCGGGCTGTGGCCCATTCGATCCCGGGACGCCGGAGACGAATCGCGTGTTTTGCAGAAGTCGAGGCCCGAAGACGAGCGGAGACGACCCGGGAATAGCAGAAGGGAAGGGAAGCCGCTGGGTCTCGTCACAAGTTGAGAGAGAGGGCCGCTCACAGAGAACCTCTCTAGTGAGACAAAGGTGTGGGTGAGTGAGAGGAAATGAGAGTGAATGAATCAGTAGGCGCGCTATTTTCCCTGCTGGCTGCGGGTTCGATCGGTTTGGTTTCCCAGCAATCATTGCGGGAGCTAATCCTCATCCAGTCTAGCTTTGGCACTGGCTCAGAACACCTTATTTTCTGTCAAATGTCTTGTCTCCGTGGACCGCGGACCGTAGTGTACGGAGCATGCAGAAGAGTGTGAGAGGTAGGTGGGAGTGGTGTGTACCCGTAAAACGCGAGCTCGGCCTCATCCGTTATGATATCATTTCGTCCCTCAACGACAAGGATGGCATATGTATGAGCGTTTCTGGGATCTGTATCACTGTGCGATACAGCTGTGCTTCACTCTGTGCGAGTTTGTCAAGGTGGCCTGGACTTGGACTGGCATGTGTTCGCAGAGGGGTTCAACCGTCCAGCTCAGTCGGAGGCTCTGAGTTCAAGAGGGCAACGATGAGACTCACCGGTACCAAAGTGTCAATTAAGCTCGGCAGAGCCACAAAAATAAACCAGCCCTGCAGAGTCTCAGACTCACACTGCGTATCCATAGAGAGTAGAGACTAGAGACTAGAGACTCGCCATTCCGTGATCTTCGCGCGGTGCTCCACGGATTTACCACTCTTTGCGTGGGTCAGATGGTTGGTTTTCTCCGTGATATTTTCTCACTTCATTTCCACTCCGTTTTCTAGACTGAGTAGATTCTGTGTTACCATGGGACTTTGCCCGGCATTTCGGCGTCTCGCAAAGTGGGCGGCCCCTTTTTACAACGCTCCCCATTGAAAATGAAAATTTTAGACAAGTTTTTTTTTAATTGCTCGTTCCCCATCTCGAAAAACCCTTCAGCTTCAGCTACTCCAGCTGAGAATAATTCGGATGGGACGGTCTTCACCCAATGCGAATGCCCTCACAACGACATCATGGGACCATGGGCAGTGATCAGATCGGCAGAAACTCAAAAAAGCCTGGACCTGTCTTCCCGTGTGGCTGCCTCCCTCTCCAAAACCTTCAATCCGTTAATTCCGCCATGCATTGAAAGACTGTCGACCGTTGCTCTATCCGTACTGTCCAGGCGCACCCAGAGCTAACCGGTGCCCTTTCGGCTCCGACAGAGCTGCATTGACCAATTCTATAGCCGCCATCGGGCGACGGGATGTGATGCTGGGACCGGGATGTGAACACTACTTACCCGAAAAGGGAACAAAACAATTCTCTCTCTAGGGCGTCCAGTCCAGCCCTAGCAAATACGTCCAGCCCTTTTTTTGTGTCTCTCTTGTTCTTCCCGTCGGAACCACAACCTTGCGGTACAGGGGTGCTGACGCCTGACTCGGGTACGTCGGACTCGCGTCGGTGGCGTGTCGGTGGTCGGCTTCAGCTTGCGCCGGGAGTGACAGTGAAGACTGGCAGGGCTTCGAGTGACAAGCGATAGTTGAGTAGTATTCCAGCAGAGCCGTCAGTTTCATTCCCGGTAGTTCCCATGGCGTAAAGTGGGATAAGGAGACAGCTTGAACAGGGTGGATTCGCGTAAATCGGCTGCCCGTTGATCATCCACCCCCGTACGAATAGCTGACAGTCTCGCAGAGACCTCAACGGCAGTGGTACATGATATCCCTGAATAAGCTTATCCCACTGAGCGTATCGCTGCAAATCCCTCTTGTCTCTGCTTACGTTTTTGTTCATCGTGCCCTCTCTTCTGAAGCTTGACGCCAGATGCAGATGGGAGAGCCACACCCTTCCCCCTCTCACCCCCCACCACCATCACCCACCAGACCAACGGTCCATCGATGCACAGAAGGCTTGGCGTTTTCTTCCGATGCTTCGATGTCCTTTCCATCCGGTATCCATCCCTAATCACGACGTGAACTCGTGATGGTCAGTGTGGGTCGAATTGGCGATATGCTGCATGCGGTAAACTGCATCTCAGTTTTGTTGATCACTATTGTTGGAATCTTTACATCACTTCTGACGGCCTTGCTCACTACGATCGCATCTATCTCGGGATTACACATCGCTTGTATGCCTAACATCCCCATGGAACGATACAACATGTGAAAGACACTAGGCGTGAGCTCGTTCGGCACCGATCCTCGGTGAGCTTTAGTGAACGAAGCACACTACTCTTAGTTGCTGACGTCGTCGAACCCAGGAAATCCTTCCCTCCCCGCTCGGTCGCGGTTTGGGAGCACGGGTCCCGCCGTCAAGTTTCTAGTCGGGCCAGCTATGAATATCTTACCGTAGACACAGATTCCATACTCTATGGTTGGTCCCCGAAAATTGACGTGTCTTAATTCCGACTTACCCGCCCAGCGAAGCAGGACAGAAACTTTATCCTGAGCCGTTGGAACCGGGGGCGGCTTACTGGAGCCATTGCATGGCTAGGACACCACCACGTCAGGAATCCGGCACAACACAGGGGCGCAAGTGCGCCGCAG